GCATCCTAGTGGCATCACAGGGTTTGGCGCCCTGTTACTTTGTAAATCAAGTGATTTCACAGAGATCTCTGCTCCCTCCAGTTTCTCGTTCTCTCTCTCTCTCTCTCGGTTCCTTAGCCCCTGTGCCCATCGGAAAGAAGAGGAGGAGGTGGAGGCGGGCGAGCACACGGAGAGGAAGAGGAGCGAAGAACACCGTCAAAAGAACAGAAGACGATCAGTGGCTGTTGGGGGGGGGGGCTGCGCTCACATATTCACACATACATGCATACACACATACATACACATACGCACTTGCATACAGATGCATACACACATACATACATATGTATGTATGTGTGTGCATTTACGTATGTAATGTAACGTAACGTAACGTGTTGTAATGTAATACATTGTGCTGCAATGTATTGTAATGTAATGTGCTGTACCGTAGTGTAATGCAATATAATGCAATGCAATGGTCTGTAATGTAATGCACTGTAATATAATGTGATGTGCTGTGCTGTGTGGTAATGTAGTGTACTGTAATGCAAGTAATGTATGCCTGCATGTATGTGTATATGTTTATATGTGTATGTATGCAATCAGGTAGCCATTACCGAGTTACGCAATTTAGAATATGTGTAGGCATTTCGATCGACCGCCACTTTGACGCGAGGCCCTCGCAAACCGAAAACTATCACCTTCCCCTCTTCCCCGGTCTCCTCATCACCCGACGGGTTCTCCTATAGATCGAAGCATCCTGTGGCCTTCGGCCCATCCTGCTATGGCGCCTTGATTGTTGGTCGAGGTGGGATCAGCATCTAGGTCACCCGGGGCTTTGCGGCTCCCTTGGGGTCCGTCTTGAGGCCCCGTGGGGGGCTCTGGGGGCTCAAAAGATCCTGGGGCCATCTTGGGAGCGAGGAGAAGGCATTTTTTCCAACCATATTTCTGTTGTTCGTTAGTTGGTCCTGTTTTGAGTCGATCTTTCCGCCGCCTTTGGGACCTTCGTGGGCTGTGCGTGATTGCGTGTGTGCAACTGCATGCGCTCGGTGGTTTCAAGCAGGCACGCGTACACACGCATACGGACATGGATAAGGTCAGTGTTGCAAGCTTAAGCGTATAGCGCAGACGACTCCGTGTATGTGTATATAATTATGTTTACGCGCGCTGCCCGCGCATATGTGTGATTAGGTGCAGTGCAGTATGTCCTCTGTATCTGCGCCTTTGCCTGGCTGGAGGTACAAGAACTGCACGTCCAACCCGTCCACCAAGAACAAGGAGAAGCGGCTGAAGGGGTCCGTCGGCCCTGGCCAGGGCATGGAGCTTAGTGGGCCCTGGAAACGACTGGGCCGCATTTTTACTGGTTCCGTCGTGCCGTTTTTTCGCCGGTTCCGACGCCGCTTTTTACCGGTTCCGTCGCTGTTTCTTTACCGGTTCTGGCTCCGGTTCCATTCCTGGGGTAATTTTTGGGGAGGCCGTTTCCGGTCGCCGTTTTTTTTTTTTTTTTTTTTTTTTTTTTTTTTTTTTTTTTTTTTTTTTTTTTTTTTTTTTTTTTTTTTTGTTTTTCCACCAGAGAAAACAGCCCTGCCGTTTCCAGGGCCCACCAAGGCATGGAGTACATGGCCAGATGGACGGGCTCCAAGAACTCCTTCAACTGAGAGCCCGCTTTGCGAGCGTCTCCAGCTCGGCGGCGGAGCGGCACACGTCTCGCCCACTCCTCATCCTCCTCCGCCCCTCCTCCCTCCTCCCTCCCTCCTTTCGCCCTCTCCTCCCTCCTCCCTCCTCCCTCCCTCCTCCCTCCCTCCCTACCTCATCCCTCCCTCCTCTTCCTCCTCCCTCCTCCCTCCTCCCTTCCTCCTCCTCCTCTTCCTTCTCCCTCTTCCTCCCTCCCTCCTCCCCTCCTCGTCAGTTGGTCCTCCTCGACGATGACGGTGGGGATGATGAGGAGACTGAGGACGTTGGAGGAGGAGGAGGAGGATGAGGAGGTTGTTGATGGTGGTGATGCTGACGTGGATTATGATTGCGACGACGGTGATGTGTCAATGATGGTCATGCCGATCAAAGGCATGTAGTTGATGATGAGGGGCAGGGTGGTGATGACTGTTGTGGTGGCGATGACAAGGATGGTGGCAGTTCTCACTATGCCTATGATTATGCTGCCTAGAATTATGCTGATGCTGATGCTGATACTGATGCTGATGCTTCTGCGGCTGCTGCTGATGATGAGTATGATGCTGATACTGCCCATGATGACGATTATGAGGATGATGATGATGATGATGATGATGACGATGACCATGATGAAGATGATGATGATAATGATGACGACGATGCCGATGTTGATATGATGATAATGATGACGATGACGACGATGATGATGGTGATGATGGCGATGCCGATGACGACGATGATGACGATGCCGATGATGATGATGATGATGATGATGATGATGATGATGCTGATGCTGATGATGATGATGATGATGATGATGACGATGCTGATGACGATGATGATTACGATGACGATGATGCTGATGGTGACGATGACGATGATGCTGATGATGATGCTGGTGATGATGCTGCTGATGTCAATGCTGATGCTGCTGATGATGATGCTGCTGATGCTGATGATAATAATGATGGCGACGTGCATGATGATGCTGCTGCTGCTGATGATGATGATGATGATGATGATGGTGATGATAATGACGATGACGATGATGATGATGCTGATGATTATTCGGATGATGATGCTGATGATGATGCTGATGATGGTGATGATGGTGATTCTCCACATATGTTTGCCCTATAGGAGTTCTGGAGTTCCTACACAAACCCTACTAATTGGTCCGTTGCCCCCCTCCCCTAAGTCCGACCCCCCTAATTCCTATGGCTATGCCTATGCCTATGCCTCCCCCCTAACTCCTATGCCTACGCCTACGCCTATGCCTATGCCTAGGCCTAGGCCTAGGCCTAGGCCTATGCTCGCTTGCGCTTGCTTGCTTCCGCTTGTTTGCTTGCGCTTGCTCGATTTTGCTCCTCCCGTCCTCCTCCCGTCCTGCTCCCGTCCTCCTTTCGTCCTCCTCCCATCCTCCTCTCGTCCTCCTCCTGTTCTCCTATCTATCTGGAGTCAACGCTGGCTGATATGATGGTGATGATGATGATGATGACGATGATGATGGTGATGGTGATGCTGCTGCTGCTGATGATGATGATGATGCTGATGAGAATGATGATGATGATGATGATGATGATGATGATGATGATGATGACGATGATGATGATGATGATGATGATGATGAAGATGATGATGATGATGATGATGATGATGATGATGATGATGATGATGATGATGATGGTGGTGGTGGTGGTGGTGGTGGTGGTGGTGGTGGTGGTGGTGGCGGTGGTGGTGGTGGTGGTGGTGGTGATGATGATGATGATGATGATGATCATGATGTTCAAGTCTCATTTCTTACGACTCAATTATTGTCCATTGTCCCCTCACTGGTGCACATTCTTGTTTTCGGTTGACATTTCCTCCCCCGGGCTCGCACCGTGTTTTTTGATATTATTCGGAAACGTCTTGTTGCTCAAATTGTATAGTTGGCCTCCAGTGCACAACAGCAACGGTTCACGCCTGATACTTCCGCACCGTTTATTCGAAATCGCGATCTCGCGGGGGACTTCCACATACCTTACTGAAGAATCGCGATCGTGCTCAGAGTTTCCTTGCAGTTTACTCAGGCGCCGCGCCCTCGACGCCCAGGAATCGCGGTCTCGCACGAGACCTCACACTTTACTCAGGACTCGTGCTCTCGCCTGAGGCTTCTTCGCAATGCACGACGTTCGCCTCCATCCCCCGCCCGCCCCCGCCGGCCTGTCAGGTAGGACCCGCCCGCCCGACCAGCCCGCCAGAGCTCGCCCACCCGACCCGCCCGTTGGGGTCCGCCCCTTCGCCTGCTTGAAGCCCGCCCGTCCGCCTCGACGTCCTGCCCGACTCGCCCGCGAGGGCCCGCGCGGCCGACCCGCCTGGTGGGGTACGTCCGCCCGTTGGGATCCGCCCGCCCGACCTGCCCGCCAGGGTCTGCCCTCCCGCCCGCCTTGGATGCCCTGCCCGACCCGCCCGTCAGGGCCCGCCCTCCCGACCCAGCAGTTCGGGTTGGACCGCCGGACCCTGCCGACAGGGCCCGCGTGCCAAAGTGATGCTTCCTTCTCTCTTCCTTCCCCCTTCCTTCCCACTCTTGCCCCCCTCATCTCTCGATTCCTCCCCTCCCTTTTTCCCTCTCCTCTCCTCCCTTTTTCCCATCCCCTTTTCCATCCCTTCTTCCCTCGATTCCTCCCCTCTCGTTTCCTCGCTCTCTGCCTTTCCCTTTTTCCCTCTCCCTCCCATTTCAGCGGCCGCGACACGAGGCAGGCAAGGAAGACAGCACGCACTCCCGAATTGGGTGTCATCGCAGACAGACAGGGGGGGTATCGAGGTTGTGGGCGAGAGGCAAAGAGCAACGACGAGCGAACAGTCTTAGACTGATTGTTGTCGATGCTGGTGATGGTGATGATGTTGTTGATGGTAGCCATGAGCAGGGGTAGGAATACGCGGGGGCGGAGGCGGGGGCAGAGGCGGGGCGTCGTCGCCGTCGTCGTCGTCGTCGTCGTCTGCTTCCCCCTCCTCGTCCTCCTCCTCCTCCTCCTCCTCCTCCTCCTCCTCCTCCTCCTCCTCCTCCTCGGTCCCCTCCTCCTCCAAGCCCATTTGAGGCTCAATGGGGGGCCGTTGAGGGCAGCGCACTTCAGAGGGGCGCAGCTGCCCCGAGCCAGGCATGCCAGGGCGCGGTTGTCGCGCGACCGCACCATGGCGGGAGTCGTCTGCCTCGAGGTGGACGACGAGCGCGGCGGAGCCCAGCCAGTATGTGTTGGATTTCGTGGAGGCGGCCACTTCGGCGGCGGCCTCGGCGGGCGGTGGGGGCGGTGGGGGCGGCAGCCCAGCCAGCTCCCGCAAAAGTGAGGCCGCGGCCATCACGCGCGCCGATGCTGGCCCTGGCCGTAGAGGGCGGCGTGATGGAGCCCGCCGCGCCTCCATCTCCACCGCCTGGTCAGTGGACACTGGTGGCACCTCCGCTGTCGGCGCAGCTTCGCAGCAGGAGCCAGCCAACGGCGGAGAATCGGCAGCAGCAGGAGGCAGTCACGGAGCTGATGGAGATGCCGACGCAATGGGTCGGCGCGAACTCCACGAAGCCCGAGCTGCCGCAGGACAACAGCAAGAAGGAAAAGAGGGATAATAATAACAAGTCGAAGCGGGAGACCAAGAAGGCCAAGAAGGCGGAGCGGGAATTCAGGAGGCGGAACCATTCTCGCTCCAGCCATCCGCGGCTGGTGGACTGAAGGCTGAGGACCTCTTCGACATCTTCAGCGACGACGAACACGAGGACTACTACCTTGATGGCGACGACGCGGCCGATGGCTGGGCGTGCTGGCATCGCGGCAAGGTGCCCGAGGACCCGTTCACGGACGTGAGTAAGCTGAATATGGAGGCCTTCGCGAAGACGGAGTGTGCGCGGGAGGCCCGCCTCGCCCTGTGGCGGCTGAAGGCGGACATGGTTGTCGGCGTCATCGGGCTCCTTCGGCGGCGGCGGTAGCGACAGCGCGTTCGCGAAGGACTACAAGAAGTACGAGTTCGAGGGCGACGAGGGGAGCTTCAAGGAGCTGACCGTGGCCCACGACAGCGATGACATCTTCGCGGAGCTGGCGGCGGTGCCTCCGTTCCCCATGTCCGACAGTGGGCACGAGGACTCCGAGGTGCTGACCGCGAGCGCGGAGGCGGACACGTGCGACGAGATCTCGCTGCTCGTCAAGTCCTTGTTCGAGGAGTGTAAGGAAAGGTCGTGTCCAAGGGCGTCGACTGCGCGAGCTTCCTGGAGTTGCTGCGCGCGCAGCCCGAATGCCAGGGCGCGCTGAAAGCCTCCCTTCCGCACCTGGAGGAGTAGCGGGGGGCAGAGGCCTGAGGAGGTGGGCGCTGTGTGGTGGTGGGGGGGGGGGGGGGGTGGTCGTCTCCCTGCCCGCGGGGTCTCGATCCCTTGGGGCGGGTTCTCTGGCCACCTGGTCCTCCTGTTTTGGGACCCTTTGGGGTCGTGCGCGGCCCTCTGGGGCTTCGGTTTTGGCAGGTGCTTTTCGCACCTCGGCTGCGGACGGGAAAGAGGCACGTCTCCCGCGGCGTTGCGGCCGTAGTGTCGAGCAGGCGCCCGACCTGACGTAGTCAGTCCTTCTGTCCCTCATCATTATCCTCTCCTCGTCCTCCTCTCCTCCTCGTCATCATCGTCAGCATCCTCATTATCATCCTCGTCCTCATCCTCATGTTCATCCTCCTCATGCTCATCCTCACGTTCATGATCGTGATCATGTTCATCGTGCTCCACCTCCTCTTCGTCATCATCATCATCACAATCACGATCATTACCGTCATCACCGTCACCATCACCATCTCCATCGCCGTTCTCCTCCTCCTCAGTATCATAATCATCATTCGCATCATCATCAACAACATCATCCGTATCATCGTCATCATCATCATCATCGTCATCATCATCATCAACATCATCATTCGCATCCGTATCATCGCAATCGCCATCACCACCAACGCCAATCGTTTTCACCATAACCGTCATAATCGTCATCACCATCAGCACCATCACCATCACCACAACCACCATCATCAGTATCATATTGATCAGCACCATCATCGTCATCAACAACTTCATCATAGTCACCGTCATCAGGATCATCATCCCCATCGTCGTCGTCATCGTCGTCGTCGTCGTCACCATTGCCATCGCCGCCATCGTCCCCCTCGTCCTCTTCGCCACTCAGCGTCACGAGAGTCGGGCGGAAGCGGGCCCGGCGCCTCGGCCCGCTCGCTGCCGGCGCGCCCGCCGGCCCCGCCCGCGACGCGCGCGCAGTGGCCCGAGGCCCGCGCGCCTGGAGACCATACGGGGGGCCGCCGCCGCCGTCGTGAAGCTCCGAGGACGGAGGGAGGGGGGAGGAGAGAGGGAGGGAGG